ACAACAACAAAAAAAGTCACAAACATAAAAATGTTTAAAAAACAAGTTTCTTTTTTCTGGATTGGGTTTAAAATTTAATGAGAAACTTTGTGGGTGAAGAAAAATTAGTTGTTGGCACAATACCAAAATGGAACAAATGAACAGCACTTACGTGCACGCTAGGTGTAGGCCATGGGAGGGCTACAGAGTAACTGAAATTAACATATGGAAAATAACTGTACGGGTTCCTTAGAGGTATTCAGAAACTATCATATCTACTCACTCAGCCTGTAAATCTTTGCACAGCCTATAATGAAAAGTGATATTTCATTATTATAATTAAAATATACTAGTCTCAGATGTTTTTCTAAAGAAATAAAAATAAGAGACAGATAATATGGGTACAATTGTTTTAAAGAAGGAAGAATTTAAGGACCTATAATTTAAATGTTTTTCAAGGAGATTTATTGAAACATAATTACATTGTATGCCTAAGATTAGGAAAGAATAACAAGATTTCCTCATATAGTAAATGAACCTCATATTTTGCAGATTATAACTGTTGGCTTGTTATATTTTTCATTTTGATTACAGAAAATACTAGCGGAAACTATAAAATGTGTTCATCCCAATTCCAATTCCATATGATCAATCTGGGACTGAATTATTTGTGCTGTATTCATAGCATGTCAGCAGAACTGAAGACTAAACTAGACAGATTTTTTTTATTTTGATGTAGGCATACAGATCTGAATAATTTTAATGATCAAAAAATGAACCTCTAAAATTATATTTTTCAAAAGTAAAACATAAGTAGCCATGTGAGAAATTCAGATCTAAAAGGAGTAATTTTTTCTATATATTGTTTCATTTTTATCTTACCTTAAAGTTTTTACAAGTCTTTGACTTACAACTATTTCCTGTCTCCAAGAAAGAGACATTTAGTAATTGAGATTAGAATTCTATACTTCCAGTTCCCTGCCTTTTAGTTACTCCTCAACAGGCTCTGTTTGCTTTCGTAAACTGTCATCATTGATAAAACCCCTGAACCACCACCACCACATGCCCTCTCTTGGCACTGCTTCTCCTCTTTTAAATGAAGAGCTTCAAAGGGAAATAAAGGAACATTTTTGGAAGAGATTTGTTCACAACCACCAGGTCCCATGAGACACAGTACCGAGAAGCCCTTTCAGACAGCTCAGGAGACAGCAAAAACATTTCCTACACAATGGCATGTGCAGACCTTGTTAGATTCTAAAACATACATATTTTAAGATGTACTTCATTACTAATACATATAATTAAGGCTTTCTTAAGACTGGTAACATATTTATACACTGTTCACATGGCATAAAGAGAAATGACCTTGTTAACTATTTCTTGTGTCCTTCTCATTTTGTCAATTGCTGTTTTATTATGTCAATTCCCTCCCTAACAAACTTGCTTTTCCTTGTTAACCTTTAAATTACCTGCTAATATTCGAGGACAAGAAAAGTACTTTAAAATTTTATTTCTTTAAGACAGGCTCTGCTACTTTCAGAACAATGTACCCATTTCATGTTTCCAATTATGGACTTCCTGTAAAATATTCTACATTACATTTTTTCAAGGAACTGCTTTTAAAATACAGTGGACCTTCAAGTTACAACCAGCCTGACATGAACAACCTAGGTTAATTAAGTTAATGGAAGATTCATCTGCCTCTTGTTATCTATAGCTTATACGCAGGTAAACATCCAGATCTCAGCTGTATTGACTTACAACCACCTTGAGTTACAACCAGCCCTTGGAACCTATTCAGTTCATAAGTCAAGTGTCCACTGTGCCTTTCTTTGGGAACATAGCCATTGGTAGACAGCAAAATAATTATTTTCATCATTTCACTAAGATATAAAATGTCTTCCATTAATATCAAATAATGAGTCCATGTACCACATACAGAATATTAATAGGAGACTTAAAATGCATGCCACAATAAATAAGTGCATTTTAATGAGTCCTATTAATTTTTGTCATAAAGCTTAAATGGTTAATGTGATAATAATAGTACTGTTGTGTGCTACCTGAAGAAAGAGAATAAATCTGATTATTTCTTAAAGGTGCATCAACTCCTCCAGCTCATTGGAAAGAAAGAGCCCAATCTAAATGGATCTCTAGATAACAACAGTGCATGAAATAATATTGCCCACTACAGAGAATGTTGCTACACAGGTGAACTGCATTTTGGAGCACATGTGAATTGCTTTTTTTTTCCCACTAGTAATTTCAACCTGCAGTTCATTTTGAAAAGTACTTATGGGAAAATAAGATAATCCCAACAGGGACAGATGTTTCAATAAGGAATCTTCTGCCATTCTGCTTTAGGTTTTATAATTCATTGCGAAAGTGAACACTGGGGTTAGGTAGAAACATTAGTTTTTAGCTCAATTAATCCATTGGAATGGAGAAGATAAATATGAAAATTATAGCACTCCAAGATATCTGCATATCTCTTCTGAGTAATAATGAGAAAACCATGAGGAAAATAACATTATAAATACGAAGGCAAAAAAATTCCAAAAACAAAATAAAAACCCCACACACACTGAAAAGAGCAAAAACAATTCTGGATACAACAGAGGAGATGACAAATGGCATGAACTTTTCAAAACACTCTACAAATAAAACAGCATTATTCAACAGGATGCGATGGAATTGGAAAAAGCAGCAACAATGCACATGATGAGACACAAAATCATCCGGAATAAGCAGTTATGGATATAAGCCAGAGAGGGGATTTCTTTTCTTACTTGCATAAGTATCTTGAGGGGTTTGAAAGGTCTTTCACCATGAAACACTCGCCACCATTCACACAGAATGTTTTCTCCTTCTCCGCACACTTCACAAGATGGCTTGTCCCAGTGGTGGATGTAGATGTAGCTGGATAAGAGATAAGGAAGAGGAGATGTTCACATCTATTTTTGACTCCTTTTAAACAGCCTTCACTCTAAAATTTTCTTAAAAGCACGAGTTCATAGAAGATACATACTTCTCTAAACTTCCCTGAAGTTTCAGACTTGACAAAAAATAGCAAAGAAACTATTTTTGGGTATAATACACAGAACACAATTAATTAATAGGACACATTTAATAGAACACATATAATTACAGAATAAATTAATTCTATTTAAATGGGGAAAGGGACTCAAAATTTTTATAATCATTGTTTTATCTTTTAAGGTGCTGGAAAACAGCAGCTCTCCTATTAGCAAGCAAAATCAATTTTAAGGATGGTTCAAAGATAATGGTATCAAGGCATATCAGTGAAGCTCCATAAAATATATATTTTCTTGCAAATTATGTTTTATGTGTATGTTGACTTTTTTCCCTTTTTGTTGTACTGGGGATTGAAAACAGGGTTTGTGCATGCTAAGTAAGCTCTCTACTACTGGGCAACATCTCCAGCCTAACTATGTTTTTAAGACAATATATAGCCCCAAAACAAAAACAAAACACACAAGGATACCAGATTGTGTACGTATTCCAAGTGAAAACATTATGTATTATTAACTGAATATATACTGACATAGAAGTCAGAAATCACTCACTTCATAATTTCTATTCTACTCTAATTCTACTCTGAAGGTCATTGTTGAACATCTGGTTGCCAACCTACTTTTGGGAAATGAAAAGATACTCTAACACTGTATCTCTACAAATGAATAATAATACTACAAAATTTATCTATCTTGGATTAAGAGTACGGAAACAAGTCTTAATTTTGGTTTCCAACTTCTTCATGTGATAACTTGACCTTCACTTGTCAAACGTGGGAGTGAACTTGAAGATGATGCTGAGCCGGTGACTGTTCAGACTAAGTGAAACCAAAGCTCAGCCCTGAGGCTCAGAGGGCCTCTCCTCACGTCCATGGCCGGTAATGCCAAGGACAGTGCTCAGTCTCCACAAGAAAAAGCCAACTCACAGTGTTGGCACTGATACTGTTGAGCTGAGAGACAGAACCAGTATCAAGCCAGTGAAAACTGTATTGACTTTTTCAGAAAAAAAAAAAAAATCCATCTTGAGGCAAATTTCTTTTTCTTGTTTACTGACACATTTCTGCAGATTTTTAATATCTTATCTTCCTTAACAATTTCCATTTTATTATTTGCATGTGAATGTTGGATGTTCTTGCTTACATGACCTATCGTGCTATTTTCCCCATGTTTTCTGCCTTTTTTATTTTCTTCAAAAGTTCACACTTTCTTGTGATTTTTAACCCAATTTCTTCTATTTCTCTTAATTTTCATTCTACCTGATCAACATACTCAACACCTGGTTATTCAGTTTCTTTACTGCTTTGTTTCTTGGTCACCTGTCTAAGATATGTTCCAGGACCGTTTCACTGCTTTCAGATAGCATTTAGGAATAGGAGCAAAGATCAGTCCAAACTACAGGACTCTGCAGACAGATCTGGTTCAAACCTCCTCCCCTATGAGCTCTGTGTCACCTACCACCTAGCTGCTCCATTTTCCCATTTAAAAAAACAAGAGTAATAGCCATCTTGGAAGATTTTTTTAATAGAGATCATAAATCATCTAGGTAAAAGAATTGGCAAAAAAAAATGTCATTCAATGAATAGTACCAAGTATAAATATGAGAAAGTAGGGAAGAATCTTAATTTTTTTTTTTTTTTTACCAATCAGATAAAAAGCTTGACAGTAGAAATCTGGGAATTTCAAAGATACATGCTATTCTTGAACCAATTAAGAATTGGGTCATTTTTTTTTTCTTGTCAAGTTAAGGATTGAATCCTGGGCCTTACACGTTAGATGAGCACTTGACTACTAAGCTGGATCCCCAGCCTGGGGATCAACAAAATGTCCTTTTCAGAATGCCTTTCAAGGTCTCCTTTATAGGTCTGCAAACCAAACAAAAGAATGAATGGAGCATGAGGAGAGAGGTGATTTTACTACATATTGTCAGCTCCAATGGATGGTAAAATCAGCTTAAAATGTTTATCAGAATGAAAGTAATAAAATTTGCATCTTTTAGTCTGAAAAACTGTAGAGTAGACAATATTCCAATATTTCACACAGAATATAATTTAAACATTTGATCTTCATGAAAAAACCTTTGCAGGTAGGTGCTGTATGTTAATATCTTCATCCAAGACAGCTGCTTGTAAAAGATATTAGGAAGACAGTTGCCTTAACTGTGAAAGGTTTTGTGCTTAAGACTCAACTGCTGACAGCATTCTATGCAATGACAAATTCTGCTGGGTAGCCTTCCTGCCCCCTGTGACAGCACTGAAGGGACCACATGCAGTGTGCTGTCACCAAGCTTCCACAGAGTATGCTGAACCATGCACAGACCCTGGTGCTGTATGAATCCATGACAGGCCCATAAGGATCTCCCTTCACCCAACTGGGTAGCAGACACTGCACCAGCCCCTTCAGAACAAATCCTGAGGCTTTTACTAAAAACAAAACCAGCACTCCCCATATGCATATACTCCACATAAATGGTAAACTACTAATAAAAATTAGCTGTGATATTCTTACCCCTTAGACACACAGATCTTGTGCGATTGTCAAAACAATTAAGATTGACAGATACACACAAAAACTAGAACACCTTTTCTTTTTTTTGGTACCGGGGATTGAACTCGGGACCTTGCGCTTGCAAGGCAGGTGGCAGAACCACTGAGCTAAATCCTTGGCCCAGAAATACCTTTTCTTTTGTCCCTTAAAAATGTTTTTCCCACAAGGTCCTGAGTTCAATCGCTGGTACAAAAAAAAAAAATTCTCCTTGAAATGAGTATTCTTTTGTAATGCTATCCCAAAGCACCTACACTGAACATATTCCATTGAAAAATTCTTAGATCACTACTTTAAAGTAGTAGTGGGACATGTGATAGTAAAATATTCATTAGAGGGACAATGAAGTAGCATCTATTTCACACCATCACGGGACTATTGCGCTTAGCATTTTTATACTTTAACAGCAACAATATAAAAAAAATCATGAATTTTAATACAGCAATTAACTACCAGGTGATGTGAAGTGTGAACTGACTGGATACAGCTGCTCAGAAGCTGTAGCCAAGCACAGAATAAGCTGTAATTGTCAGCAGTCAGGAGAGAGATGGTGCCACACACACACTCTTCGGATTTTTGCCAGTTTCCCTTTCCTCATAGTTGAACACAGTGTGGTGTCCGTCCTAAGCAAGACTATAAAATTTGCAATGATAGCCTTTCTCTTTGGCTTACACACACTGTATTGCTAAGTCAGTTTCCATTTGGTAATTCTGCCAGAAAATAATGAAACAGACAAAGCAGGCCTTATACCAACTGTGGAAATACTATTCTTTCTGGGGGAGATGAGGAGTTTATTAGAAGCAAAGCTGAAGATCTTTTAAAGTGGAATGTATTTCAATATATAATAGATGCCCCCCCATCCTCGGGTTGTTCTGGGAAAAGAGTGAATAGATTTCACTCATTCAGGGCTTGGTAAACCCTGACTCCTTTTGCTTTGTGATTACTTTGTCAGTTTGGATATTACCTTCTAATAAGTAAATGAATGGCAATTAAGAACACTGCTAAAGATGACTCCATTATTTTTATGTCTGACATTTATGTTTCATCCTAAACACATTTGCCTTGCTAGGTTAGCAACTGTAGTCCTATAAAAGGAGAAAAGTATAAATTAAAAAGGCTAAGAATACATGTCCGGAGTGTTTTACTCCCAAGGTGGTCTGTCCTGGCAATATAGTTCAGGACTCTCAATCACGCCCAGGGGGGTGGATAGTTCTCTATCTTAACATTGGATGTGGAGTCTAAGTTTGCCATTCCTTTGCATAAAAGCCCTCTGCCACACACTGGGGCTCCTGACTTTTCTTTCTTCCTCTTTCCTTCTCTTTCTAGCTTGGTTCTCTCCCTGACTCCTTTCTTTCCTTCCTCTTTTCTACCTTTCCTTTCTTCATTCTTCCCTTTCTTCCTCCTTCCATTCTTTACTGACTGTCCATTATGAGCAACACAGAGTGGTAACAACTGAAGATACTGGAGTTAAAAATTTTAAGACCTACATCAACTCTCCCTAAAAAGAAAACTTCATAGATAAGATGTAGTGGGATGAATACTGACGCTACTAATCCTGAGAAAAATCAAGTCCTAGTCTCAAGGGTGCCACTTAATACCATGAGACTCCTGTCTGGTGATCACCTCAATCAATTCAGCAGTTAAAGTCAGACTCAGAGTTATTGTGAAGTTTGTTAAAATGGCTTTATCTTACCCAATACTACAAAAAGATGCATGATACTGTTATTTTTGTCATAAATACTGGACAAAGAAAAGCATAAAATTTTATCTGTACAGACTCTGGAATTTTATAAAATCAAACCTTAAGTGTTATTACTCAGAAAATAATTCTGCAAAACATGAAGAGAGATGACCTAGTTCTGAAGAGGAATAATCGAGTAATTGTAAAGCATTAAATAAATACAATTAGTATAGCTTATCTTCATTGTTACTGCTTATAACCTATAACCACTAAGTTATGATATAACATAGCATAAGATGATACTGAGAAAATTTCTGAATAAGCAGAAAACATGTATCTTGAATTTGTGATTATTTTCTAATTTCAAGATCTATAAAATTCTGTAATATTTCTGACTGACCTTTCAAGTTGCATGAATTAAATGTACTTATCAAATTAGATGCAATTATAACAGTTTAAAAACTATAAAACATTTTAACACAGTTTGATGTCCATATTATTACATGGAACATAATATAAATTTTGTTTATAAGGTAACATTCTGGAAATACTATTATTATATACTTTTGTAAAGATACAGTATCTAAATTTGATTAATTTGTTTTCTGCTTATCACTTAATAGTTCCCCATGGAACAACATTTCTCCATACATTCAGAGTAC